CACAGACACAGACACAGACACAGACACAGACACAGACACAGACACACACACAAAGTCCTACTAGTCAAACCAGGTAGTAGAACCCTTCATCAAAATGTCAAATGAGTGTGTTGGACGCGGAACTACAAATCTAAAGCATGGGAATTCGCCGACGGCAAATATGGGATCCCGTTAACAGAAAACTTCATGGCTGATGTTGCAAGCCTTCAGGATAGCCTCGTCCAAACACGCATCTTACCTAAGTTCGATTTTTCTCGTTTGGCTGATGTACCTGCAAAATATGTGCGTTGACGTTCCGAGTCGGCGAGTCGGCGCGACCCCTATCGTATCGCGGCGCAAGAAGTGAACGAAGCCCAGGACGTCTGTCCGGCGGTACTTGGTGGCGTAGGCTTCCATCACTGTAGCCAACATCTTCAGGCAAATGCCCCGATCCTCCGACGCTTCGGGGTCTCTCTCCACGGGAAGTCTCACCCTTTTCTGTGGCCGAAGCCGGTTTTGCCTTTCCATTGCTGCTGCTTGACCCCCTCTGCGAAAAGTGTTGAATTCACTTTTTGTGGGTCCAATACGGAAAATCCCAGCGGTTCTACCTGAGTTAAGCTCCTGGGAAGATTCGTTACATCGCCAGGAAGAGCTGATGGAGGCCCCCTAAAGAAAAACGCTCAAACGTTCACAGACAGCCCGAAAAACAAAAGGCGGAAAAAAACGGCCCCCCAAAAAATATAAATGGGTGAAAGGCTGCCGTCCAAGGGATTTTCTGACACTTGTGTATTAAAAAAGAAAGGAGCGCCCCACCGTTTCACTAGCAAGAGGCGGGTGGGCCATCCCTTTCAAGGTTGGGCCCCCAAAATGGTTGGGTTTTCCTTTTGGTGTCCATGTAAAACCAACCAACAAAAGTCGGTTTCCGGTTCTGGTGGTTTGGACGTTAGCGGCCATGTGGCTTCAACAGGAACTGGGGTTCAAATCCCAAACCACTTATCATCCAAACGAACGAATTTAGGTCTCTGAGCACTGAGTGTGCAACCTTTAGGGAGTTTGCGCGACTAATCCAAACCACCAATTGAGGCTCAGCACAAAAAGAGGCGGTACCCTCAAACAAAGACAAACCCACCACATGTTCTAATCAAAACAACCCCGCCCCCCGCACAAAAAAAAAACGTCTGTGGACCGACGCAGAGACTTGCTTGGATTCCCGTTGCCACTGCGCGGAGATGCCGAAGATTTCAGAGCTGACATGTGTCAGTTCGCATGGTGGGGCTTCCTTTGGGGCCGTTTCACTGTCCAATCACTGTGGGGTCACGACCAAAAAACTCCGCACACGCAAATGGCTTTGCTGCTGTAAAAAAAACGACCATTTCCCACAAGCACAAACGGCATCTGTTTTGAGAGTCCTCCATAAAAACCGACTGAAATGCTTGAAAACCAACCCTGCCAGGACCTCGAAACGACTTGGATTCTTCCGCGAACAGATCTGTCCCTGACAATCCAAGGAAAATAAGATTGGATTGGGTGTGATAGTCCATAAAATTGGAATCCCTGACTCAAAGGCTGCCTTGAAGCAAACCCTTTTAGCCCAAGTTGCCGAGCAGAAGACACTTTTTGTTGGTATCGATCTTTCATGTTACGGATCGGGCGCCATGTTTGTCGATGGGGACAGAAGAGGCATCCAATGGAGACACACCGCAGCATTTCCGTTGATCCTTTTGTTTCAATAGGCAGCCAACCTGAACAAAATATCGGCAATTGGAGGAGCCCCCAGATCCGATGTTGCTGATCTTTTCCAGATAGAACTCGGGCTATATCAACTCCTTGAGTCCCTGGGAGGTCCCTTTACTACCAAAACCCAAAGACAAAAAAGGGGTGCGCTAACAAACCTTGGAGTGTGGCAATGTGGTCAATGCTGTGGTCCAGCTAGAAATGTTTCCCGAAACCCAAAGCAAACCAACCAACTGTGGATGGGGTGCAAATACCCCAAAGTCATCCAGATTCCCGGATGAAAGTGGGGCGACCCGACCAAACTCGACCCTGGGTATACATATGTGTATATATATATATATGGAAATTGGGTTGTCCTCAGTTGTCCTCCTCACATGTCCTCAACCAACGGTAGACTTCTGAACAACAATCACTTTATCCAGAATAAGTGCTTTGTTTTGATGGTTTGGGACGTTAGGGAGCAAATTCCCCATGTGGCTTCAAAAGGAAGTCGGGTTCAAACTCCAAACCAATCCAACACACAAAGCGGAGCCTGAAATAAACACCTGCGAAAGGTGTCTGCCCAGCAGGGGTCGAGACTGAATTCAGCACATTTGTTCAGGATTTGTTCTGTTGTTCACTCCCCGCAGCAGCTGCTGCTGCTCCTGCTGCTGGTGCTGTGGAAAGCCCAAAGCACAAAAGCCGTCAAAAGCCGCAAACACCAAAAGCCAAAACAAGAACACCTGGAAACAGTTCCTGAACATATATGTTCAACCGGGGGCCGCCCCAATTTCTGGTTTCAAGAATATTTCAACAGGAACTTCTACAGGAAACTAGATTTGCTTAGACTGGGCTTGCCCAAGCCTAGACTGGGCATATCCAAGGCTTATCCAAGCTTGGAAATCGGGATGTCGGAAGGGCTTGTCCGGGAACAGGAAATCTTGCCGTACCAGTGGGCAAATCTCCAGGAAGATAAATTGGACTTAAATTGGGCTTAAATTGGGCATATTTTAGGTTATAAAAGGCTTAAATGCCCCTTAAACATGCTTAAATTCCCCTTAAAGCGGCTTAGGCTAGATTCCCAGAACCTTCCCAATTTAACTTCCTGGAGAGTATCCTGGAGATTTCTTCTTTGATGGTTGGGATTGCAACTTCCTAGACTTCACTTGCTTGGGTTGTGCTTGCGGGCGTCAATCCCGGCTGGATCCCGGCTGGGTTCCGGGGAGGGGGCTCGTCTCCCTTGAAATTGAGCCGGAGTCTTGCTAAAATGACTCACTTCCCATGGGATTGGCAACAAAAAAAGGAGCCTTCCTAGATAGCCAATTTGCGATCGCCTTGTTCAGTCACTGCTGGTTTTCGGGGTAGAGTGCATGGAGAAGAAAAAGAAAAAGAAGAAGAAAAAAAAACGCCACTGGCGATCCAGGTTTTGATTAATGGTCTTGAGTGGGCTGAGCTTTGTGAACCGAGGCACCATGCTTGCCACCAGCTGGCGCTGGCGTTTGTCCAGCTTGGCCTCCTCTTGGCACACGTGGCAGCGGCTGCAGGCGCCACCCCAGCTGCACTCGCCTACGCGGCACTTCTTGTTTGACAAGTCGGTTTGAAGTTTCAAGGCATTTCTCTAGGGCTTGATTCCTGTTCCCTTCTTTTCAACCATCGCTCTTTCCAAAAACTGGCCGTTTTCCCTGGGTTTCCGAAGTTTCCACGCAGTGCTCCCTGGCAAGAATGGGGAAGGTACCCCTAGAATTTCCCGCGCAGTGCTCGGCTTCCCTCTGATTGGTGGATTGGCGGCTCGGCAGTTCAAATCCACCAATCACGAATCCAACCCACATGATTTGTGTCCCGCAGAATGTGTGAAATAGCGAACCCCGCAAACTTTCATGGTTGTCCTGTTGGCGTCCCCCCTAAATCAAGCTGAAAAAAAAGGGTGCATTTGGCTGAAACGCACGAGCCACATGCTCGCACCGGCTTCGGTCTGCGTGCCAACAGGTCCACTTGGCGCGTTGGTCGGTGAAAAAAGGTCCAAACAGTTTTCACGAACTGGGTCTTAACAAAAATCTAGGGCTACCTTCCATGTCCATTCTTTCCAGGGATCCGAATCTTTTCAGGAAACCATCAAAAACCCAGGGGAAACACAGATCCGGTTATTGAAAAGAGCGATGGTTGAAAAGAATGGTTGGAATCAACCGATAGAAAAATGGAGGCGTGGAGAAAATCGGAGAAAAGCAACTCGGTTGCTTCCCTCGTGGTCTGAAGGATGGGCAGGGTACCGAGCCTAAGACGACACTGATGCAGCTTGACCCCATCCAATGCAGCCGTTGGAATCCGTAGGTGACACCCCCGATTTTATGAGAGGGGTTTAAAAACATCCGGGGTTGCCACTGCTATTTTGCTGTGAGCATGGAGAAGCCGACCACGACATTGCTCAAGTCCTTGGACCCCAAACTTGGAACAACACATTGGTTGACATTGGGAGGGGAGAAAAAATTGAGAAATGTTAGCGGTTAAGTGGTTGGAGTTCAACCACCAAACCACAAGCAAAAATGAAAAATGGTTCCCAATAACCATGACATGCTCACCTGCTAGGTCCTCCGGTGAGGTTGGAATAGGGGTGACAACTCTTTTTTCTGTCTGTGTTTAGCCTGAAACCAACCCAAAGGTTGAAATGTCTGGCAAGATACCACGTTGCAGGACGCTTTTGTGACCCTGGGAGAAGTTTTAGGGCACTGGGGGTGAATTCTTTGAACGTGTTCCTGAGCCTCAAGGAAATGCAGGGAAGAGGGTAGCTTCAAAACAAGATACCGCCAGTCCGACCCATCCCAGGTGGTCAGGATGTGAAAAAGGGCCTCTCTATGGACAAGGGGTAGGGATGGCACCTGCAGAACATCATGGGGCTCCTGCCGAAAGAGGCGCCGACCTTGAAGGATACCTCCAGCCCAACCACTGCCTGCTGGGAAAAGCGGGCACACATCAATGGGCCCGCGTCTAGCGGGCTGTAAATGGAGTCCAATTGGCGCAAGCGCAGGACCATGTAGCAGAAGGAACAGACAAGTTGCAGTTGAGCTTGATGCTCCAGAAAAAGCTTCCCCAGTCTTTCTAAGGATCCTTCTTTTCAGAAAGCATCTCTGGGCTCAAAATGTGTTTTCCAGCTCATGGGAGCCCACGTGGGGATGGATGAACCCGCAAGCTGAACGCACTGCAACGAAGCAGCTTTGCGAAGTGGACTTTTGTCCATCCACGAATCCGCTGCTTCCAATTTGACATCCACGAGTCCACTGCTTCCCATGGAAACCATCCACGAATCCGCTGAATCCAATTGAAAACCCGGATAAAGAAAACACATCGAAACCTCGCCCATCCGATCCGCGCTCCGATCCTCCGCTCCTCCGCTCCTCCGATCCTCCGATCCGCGCCTCGGAAAAAGTGCCTGCAAGGGCCGCAGCAGAAGTGAGGATGCCCCTTGCTGCCGACGCTCGCCGCCTGAGCACCCCTTCCATTTGCTTGAGACCCCTGGAAAAAAAAAAATAGTGATAGATTCCCTTTAAAACCAACAGGGGAAAACGAAAAATATGATTATTAAGCAAATGGAAGCCTTTGGCTCCGAGTGGTTGACAAGTCTTCGATTCGCTGGTTTTCTTGTGCGGCTCCGCATTTTCTTCGACAGGAAACCATGGTATGTGTCTGTTGCAAGTGAGCCCTCGCACATCCATCCGCCGTTGGTTTTCCTTGCTACCAAAGCCAACCCAAAAGGGATCGTTCGTCCAATTCGGCCTCAAGACATGGGAATCTGTGGTCAAACATTCAGATTTCTACCGTGAGAAAAAGGGCACAAGCAAAGGGAAACCACCTACATAGCCAAGTTGCTCGTTTGTTCAAGACACGTCATAACAAAACAATCACAGTGGTAAAAAGGACATGGGTTGCTTCAAAAAGCATGCGCCCTTGCACCCCAAACCACCCACTCACCCCCCAAATCACGCCAACCCCACAAACACAGCCCTACGAGAAAAATTCAGCAAACTGGGACCAGTTCACCTCGCAGCTCCGACTTCTCAACGCGCACTCTTGGTACTCAGCGCGAAAGTCCACGGGACCCCAAACTCTTGGGAGACCCCGCCCGCTGGAAAGCTGGGAAACTGTACTTCCATTTGCTGAAGCCCACTGGATAAAATAAAAAATATGCCCAGTAGTGATGGATTCCCGAAAAACACCAGGGGAAAAAAGAATCCATTCATTTCAGCGAATGGAATGTGTATCTCCCAGAAAAGTCGGAGCCCCCCCCCCAAAAATAAAACAAAAAAACAACAACAAAAACAAACCAGAAAAAAAAACAGCTGCAAAAACAACCAAACAAAAACAAAAGAGCCCTCCCAAAGAAAAGGCGACAAAGCCCAACCGCCTTGCCTTGGACGCGGGCATCTCGTGGCCGGTGGCCGGCAGGGTGTCCTGTGGGACCTGGGGTGTTGGGCCAAGTCCATTGAATTCATGCCAATCCAAATGGAAGAAACGGAGAAAACGACTCTCCGGACCTCGCCCCCCCCAGTTCCAAAGCGGATCTGCCTTAAAAAAAGCCGTGAAACCGAAGCGGATCTGCAAACATCCGTGGGAGTCCGAGAAGTGCGAAGTGGACTATGTGCCATCCTCTGCGGTAAAAGTGGGTGCGTCTGAAAATCGGGGGGCCATGGGCCCACTGGTGAGTTTCCTTTTGGTGTCCCTTCCAGACCACTCCAAAATGGGTACCCTGAGGAAGACACACCAACCTCGGAAAGATCTCGCATATTGCCCAACGTTGGTTGGCTCAGACACTGCATTTCTCCTGTCTACTTCGATGTACTTGGCCTGTCTGATAGAGAAAGCCCAGAAAATTGCTGTTCTCTAAAAAAACAACACATGCCACCCGGGCCTTATGAAGACCAACCTACGAAGCACCACGCGTGACATGTCCGTGGTCCGAGTGGACAGTCGCCTCTTCTTCCATCAGTTTCTCTGCGCAAGTTCTCTGAGCAGGTTTTTCCGAGCAAGCGTTCTGAGCAAAGTCTCGCTGGGCCAACCAATGGTACCTCTTGCACACAAGAAATGCATACGTTCTGGATTAAAGATTCACAATTGCCCAGGAAAGTGTTCTCCAACATCCTGACTCCAGAAAAAGGCCATAGAGTCGGTGGACCGAACGCAAGTCCATTGTAACAATAAGAGAAAACAAACGTTCCAAGCAAGATGTAGGCACGCCCGACCCCAGAAAAAAAAGGGGAAATGTGAATATCGCTGGAACAAAAAGAGAAACTGTCCTCTTGCCAAGATTCAAGAATCACAACTATCACAACTGCCAAAAAGCAATGTCCAGAAAATGAAGGATATTCAACATTGAAGCGCATGCAAGTTGTTGTGAAACATGTTTGCCAACTTGCCCCCTGAAATTATGACTGCTAAATTTAAGCTTCTCAATACAGTACTCAGATCCAAAATGCGGAACTTCTTCAGGACTTTTGGGGCGAGTCTGCTATTTGAATGTCTCCTCCTCAAATCCTGGTGCCGGCATTCAGGTTTCTTCGTACTGGTACTCAGATTTCTTAATACCTGTACTGAGGAATCTGGATCCAAGATCCAAGATTGCTGCAGGACTTTTGAGGGAAACCTTGGATCGCAAGATCCAAGATCCAAGAGTGCTGGGGAACTTTTAAAGGAAATCTTGGATCTATGAATGGCCCCCCCTCTTAGTGCTGTGATATAGACCCGGTGTTAGGGGAATCTGGATCCAAGATCCAAGATCCAAGGTTGCCCGGATACTTTGGAACCTTTGGATCCATGAGTTACCCTAAGCAATCTTGGATCCATGTTTTTTTCCAGCTCAAACCTTAATACCAGTAGAAAGGCTTCGTAGTACTAGTACTGTCATGCAGTTTCCCCAATACCCGGCACTAAGGCATCTGGACCCAAGATCTGGACATCTTGGATCCATGAACGCCACCCCCTGAAACCTCAATACCGGTATTAAGGTTCTTAGTACGGTCATGTAGATTCCTTACTACCGGGCAGGCAGGAATCTGGATCCAAGATCCAAGATTGCTGGGGGACGTTTGAAGGAAATCTTGGATCCAGCAATGCCCCTCTAAAACCTTAAAACCGGGCATAAAGAGATGTACATGACAGTACTAAGAAGCCTTAAGATCGGGGGGGCATTCATGGATTCAAGATGTCCCTCAAAAGTCCACCAGCAATCTTGGATCTTGGATCTTGGATCTTGGATCCCGACTCCTTAATACCGGGTATTAGGGAAACTGCACGACAGTGGTAAAAAAAAATACAGGTAGAAATAATTATGGCACACCCGTTTTTTTGGTGCCCATGTTTGGCCAAACAAATGAAAAATCCCGAGAGACGCGGGGGCGCAAGGGGGGGGGGCGTACCGTTAACAAAAATGCAGAATCTGTCCAATCCCGGCAAAACACTTTGTTGTTGCAGCCACCCACTTAAAATGAACATGAACAGGAGCAAAACTTAAAACTCTACAAAACTAAGCAAGATGCCAAGAACAGTGAAGCTGCGACAAACCACTTACCATATGGTGCTGGAACTTTGTCCATCCACTACAAATACAGTCATGAACAATAACGCCAATAGTGGTTGTGATGTTGACAACTTCTGGGTGAGGCTGCCATGCTGTGCGACAAACAATGTGTTGGATTCTGCAGCCGTTGTTCTAGGAAAATTTGACACGGCGCTGGACATGTGGAAAGACAAACATAGACTTTTGAAGCTAAACCAGCCATACTCAACCACACAACTTGTAATAAACTAAGGGTTTCCTCTTACTTGCAATATGGGCCTGTCCATTTTGACGTTGCAAAGGCCGATGGGAAAGCCAAAAAGAGCATTTTTTTTGGGGGGGGGGGCCACCCAAACCTCGGGCTCGATGAGCTCGGGAGGATTCGCCAGTGGCTGCAACGCCTGACAGGACTCCATTTGTTTGCTGATTGCTTCTACGCCGAGATGGCTTTTTGAGTGAAGAGAGTTTCGCCTAGGCAGAACACTCAGAACTCCCACAAAGAAAGGGTGTTGTGTCTGGTGGTGGGGGTGGTGGGGGTGGTGGGGGTGGTGGGGGGTGTGGAGGTGGTGGGGGTGGTGGGGGTGGTGGGGGTGGTGGGGGTGGTGGGGGTGGTGGGGGTGGTGGGGGTGGTGGGGGGTGTGGAGGTGGTGGGGGTGGTGGGGGTGGTGGGGGTGGTGGGGGGTGTGGGGGTGGTGGGGGTGGTGGGGGTGGTGGGGGGTGTGGGGGTGGTGGGGGTGGTGGGGGTGGTGGGGGTGGTGGGGGTGGTGGGGGGTGTGGGGGTGGTGGGGGTGGTGGGGGTGGTGGGGGTGGTGGGGGTGGTGGGGGGTGGTGGGGGGTGTGGGGGGGGTGGTAGTGCTGGTAGTGCTGGTAGTGCTGGTAGTGCTGGTAGTGCTGGTAGTGCTGGTGGTGCTGGTGCTGGTGCTGGTGCTGGTGCTGCTGCTGCTGCTGCTGCTGCTGCTGCTGGTGCTGCTGCTGCTGCTGCTGCTGCTGCTGCCGCTGCTGCTGCTGCTGGTGGTGGTGGTGGTGGTGGTGGTGGTGGTGGTGGTGGGCTTGTTTCTGATGCTGCATGGTCTTCTTTGCATTCCTATATTGTTACTGTCTTCTTATTGTTGCTGGCGCTGCTTCTTGATGTTGGCAGTGTTCAAGCACCGATTCAGATTGCTCAATGAAGCGTATTTGGCTCATTCATTTGACACAGTTCCCGAAGCAAAAAACTCTGACCTGAGTACACAGACCGTGGAAAAGGAAATGTTGCTTTCTGCTCCCTGCTACACGTTTAAGTTTTAGTGGCTTCATGGAAAACCCATTAGTTGGCAAAACGTTAAAGTCCCAACATCCAAGCAAAATGCAACAAAAAAGACAAGGTTTGTCATGTTCTGAAAGGGTGAAGGACCCGGCCAGCAAAACGTGCAAAAAATTGTTCAACTGAGTCATAATCAAAACCCGGTATTAAAATGTATTAAAATGGTCTACCCAAAGCCCCCACGTAAAGAATTAAGAAGGCGGCCGCAGCTATTTATGGTTGGGATTGTCCCTCACTAACCTTCATCTACCCGGGTTTTGATTGTGGCTCAACTGGTTCAACCCTTCAACGCTTGCGTGCAAAACCACTCCCGCCTGCGACCGATCAGACAGTTGCTGCACCTGCCGCGTGTTTTCTGCTTTTTTCTTTTGCCGAGCGAGGAAACGAACTGAGAGATTGTAGGGGACTGGTCAAGCCAAGGGCAAAGGCCTCCAAACCGGGGTGAGGTGCGGTGGGGTGGGGTGGGGTGGGGTGGGGTGGGGTGGGGTGGGGTGGAGAATGGAATGTACCCGTGATGTCCCTCTGCAACCAATATCGCCATTTCGGTTGAGAAACCGCAAATTCTCCAGCGGCTCCTATAAATTGACAAGGGGTCTCCCAAACACATGCACAGAGGAAAAAGGAACCAAGCATCAACACGGACTCGTCATGGTATTCAAAACATGGTAACTCACTGGTTCCAGCGAGACGCCCTCGGCCCTCGAGGAAGCCTGCTTGAAAAAAGAGGAGCCGGATGGAACCAAGCTGCTTCTTTCTGTTTGGAATCACCACTTGCTCACTCACTTGTTTGGGGAGTCCAAAATGAGTAGATCCGAAAAGAAAATAGCTAGTGTGATTCCAAACAACACGCCGGTTCCGCAACAAACGTTTGGGGTTTGTGCCCATAGTGCCTGGGGGAAACACGATGTATGGAATACGTGATACCTGTTCTTTGCCTGGTGCAAGAATATCAGGGAAGTGAAAACCATCCGAGGCAGGTGTGGATTGTGTTAATCAGTAGTCAAAATCCGCTTGTGAGTCATGGCTCAAAAAAAAGACCTCTACGGCACACATTCCTCCCTCCACTGATGGTTACAAAATCCTCGCGATCCAGGCACCGGTGGGATGAAATGCGGTTTGGTTATTGCAGGGTGATTTGGTAACCGTCCACAGAAACGGATGAAGGTGTGTGTGTGTGTGTCTTGCTTTCTTTTGGGACCCCCAGCAGATGCGGCTTTACTTATGGTTTGCCTTCACAGCCACAATAAAGACGCACCTCTGTGAAGCCATGACTTTGATGGCCAGCTAAGCCATCCCGAATTTACTCCGCGAGTTCCTCTTGGCAGGTGCTCCTGGCTCAAAGATCTCATCCCAGACCCGCCTTTTATGGGTCGTTGAGTTTCTTTCCCGCAAACCAACAATTGGCAACACTAGCGTGGATGGGCGAAATCCATTTCGCACCACCTTGAAGCCATGGTTGAAACCGTTGTTTGTGGACATTTACAGGGGAATCGAATCCTTCCATGATATCTTAGCTGGGTTGCTTTCTGCTCCCCCGCTCAAAGTTTCACTTTTAGTGGTTTAATACAGAAAACCCAGTAGTTGGCAAAAGTTAAAGTCCTAACATCCCTTGGCAAAATGGGGCACTTTGCCGCAAACAAAGCGCCGTAAGTGCCTGTTGGAAAATCGGAAGGCCGTGCTTTTGAGTGCCCAATGGGTGTCCAAAGTTGGGTGGTATTGAAATGGAGTTCGCCATTTCGCCACCATCGCGGGCGTCTATGCGGCTCTCTCCCGCTGGGCGTCCAGGCGTATTCGGCCAGCGTCTCCTCCTGGAGCTTCGCATCGGATGCTTCCGGCATTGCGTAGCCCAGGCAGGGCGCGCTCCTGTCGAGGCACAACTTGCTTCTGCGACAGGCAGGTGGTTTCCCTTGAGGGGACCCCTGCGCTCATTCCTACATTCCTAAGAGAAATGGAATGAGAAATGGAATGACTCCTGCAAACCATCCAACTGGTGGCTTCCTTTAAGGGAATCCTCATTCCATTTCTCATTCCCTAGCTATCGCACCAGCAAGAAAACCCGTCTTTGGTGCGCGATGGAAGGGAGGTACTGATGGACAAAGAATCCTCCAGCCTAACCCACTACTCACAGAAACTGGCGCAGGAGCTTGTCCATCAGTCTGACCCTCCAGGAAGTTGTTCGGTTTACACCAGTAACCAGCTGCGGCAAAGATTTCTAGAGTGGCTTAACGGGAAGCCTAAATGACAACCAGCATTTGGGCCCATTTGTCGCATGAGAAGGGGGGGCGTTCCAAAATGCGGCTCCTGTGCCTTCTTGTGCCGCCTTTTTAAGGGGATACCAAAAAGTGCCGCGAATGTACACAAATTTCGCGGTGACACCAATCAGTCCATGTTCCTTGTCACCAAAAGTTGTCACGAAATCGAAGAACCCCGACTCAGTTTTCTAGACATCACATTTTCCAAAACGATAAGGGCACCCTTGAATCCAGGGCTTCCGGTATACGCGGGTATACGAGTCTAAGAGGCTTGATAGGAATTAGATCAGCTTTGACCTTTTGTCTGGCCATCCAGTTGAAGGGGCTCTGGCTTGGACGAAATCCAACGACCATAGGTGGCCCTTTGGAAACAAGAATGGATTTCCCTGGTAAATGGTTGATAAGCCCCATCTACACCAGCGGAACCCGTCGATTAACCAAGCTCACCGATCAAGAGGATTATGCCAATGACACCCCCTTTTGTTTGGGCTTCGATAGGTTTCAACCTGCCGGTAGATCCAAACCCCACAGCGCCTTCCGTCCCGACAGCTTGGGGCCCGGAAAAATCCGCGCAGAAAAAATGGGTGTCCTCGGTTCAAGGGACGTACCCCTCGCAACAAAACCCCTACCCATGTCATCCCTCTTCAGGTACTTGACTCACCTGACTCGTAGCAAGGAAGATCTTTCCTGCCGGACCCGAAGCCCGAAGCGCAGTGTGAACATCGCCCGCAACCTTCAAGGCCCCTGGGGAAGAGCCGACAAAATCGAAGAGACTTCAAGTCAGGCTCCACGTTCGAGGGAGGGTGCCAGGGGAGAAGTTGCGCCCTGAAGGGGGCCTCAGAATTCAACAAATACCGCGATCCAACTTGAGTTGGGACATGAGAAGGAATCAGCCCAGGAATGGGAAAAAGGAATCCACAGCCTACCAGGATCCTTAATTTCCTGAAGTCCCCTGGAAAATAAAAACATATTTCCAGTAGGTGATAGATTCCCTTGAATACATTCTAAAGCAAATGGAAGGGAATCACAGAGAAAAATATACCCATCGCGGACCCTCGAGATCCAATCATCGAACACTGGTTGACGGCGTCGTTTGACCGAACTTGGACGCTGATGTCCTTTGTTCTCGCCTTTAAACCTTTTGTTGTTCTCGCCTTTAAACAGAATAATATCCTATCCCTCAAGGGGGAGCCCTGATTCGAGAAACACCCATTTGGACCCACGACCATGACACAGGAAGCTTGACAATGGCAAAGTTGTTGCTTAAACATTCACAGGAGGCACCAGTTGGGAAGAATGCTTGATAACCCGATCCGAATTGAAACAAAAGCGCAGTTTGTCTGTCTGTAGGACCCTATTTGGTCAAACAACGTCAACTATGATCAGTACCCCCAGTGCAAAAGTCCAGTAACTGGTGTTTACAACCAGGGATGTCAACCGCTCAGCTCAGTGGGTCGTCATCCAAGTAATGGTTGTCTAAATTGCCATGAAGGGTTTCATAGCAATCCCTACGGCTCACTCCTAAAAAAGTACGCGACCCAAAAGCCATCCGCTGTTCCGAATGCTCCCACGCGTTTCAAACTTTCGGAAAACCGCACCAACCTTCGTTGCTGCTCACCAAACCCCCGGGGCAGTAACTTAGTAACTTCCCCAGGAAGCCACAGGGATTGACGGGTGCTGTCCACGTTGCCCATGTCGGAGGCCCGGAGAAGAAAAACAAATGGCTCGGACGCCCTGAGCCGAGCTCCGATCCAGCGCCTGCAGCCCCTGCGGGCCCAGCCTGGAGCGGGGCAGCGGGCCCGGCTCCTCCGGCTCCGTGCCGATGAAGGTGCTGCGGTAGTTGGCCATAGCCTGCAGGTGGCGGTCCCCGTTCCGCCCATCGTTTTGAGCCGGACACGATCGAACTGCTTACAGAAGTGCCAAGGAGCCTCAGAATTGAAACTGGCTCACCTGTTGCAAATGCATTGGGAACATCGCATACAACTTCCTGTCTTCCCGTCTATACGGGTTTGTTGTATTTCAGAGCACCCCTGTTCTCGTCTTGAACGAAACGCCGTTTTGAGTCATGGCCATGGGTCAAAATCCAAAGTGAACATCCGATTCAATCCAACCACTAAAATAGGTTCCAAAATGGTTGGTGAATTCACCCAATCCAACCAAAAATGGGATCCCGTTTCACGGTTTTGACCACCACAGCCCTGCGGAACCCCAATTGGCTTGGACCATTCTCAAGGATTTTTGTTGGCTGCTGGACTGGAGGGTAGTTATTTCCTTTCAAGAGAGCATGGGACATTTCCAATCCTTGGTAACTCGGTTGCATCTGCTTCCCTTCACAAAAAGTTCAACTTTTAGTGGTTTGATACGGAAAACCCAGTAGTTGGCAAAAAGTTAAAGTCCTAACTAACATCCACGCAAAATGCGACAAAAGAAAGTAAGCAAGAAGCATGCTTCTTGCAACGCACCAAAGATGAAGAGGACCAAAGAAAATAGCAAAACAGATGCCAAGAAGAGTGAAGGTTCTCAAAATTTCCGGTGCTTGTGGTTCCGCTTCGGGACAAGGGGGGGAATTGATCGCAGGAACAATGGACAACCCTGTTTCCAATACTCTGGAATTCTGGTTTCATTCTCCCCACAGGCCACCTCCTTGCGCAAGGCAAAGCAAGGATTTTGCCAACTTCGAACAACGACTCTTGGAAACTGTACACTCAGGTGGAGAAAAAAAACACTTGGTGTCCGGTGCTGGACACTTGGACACCCAAGCCAGCGGAAAACAGCCCAAACAGCAAAAAAAACACCATGGCCAGTGGCACCATATCGAAGCACCTTGGATTCTGGCATATGGACTGCGGTGCATCCCACTCAACACGCGAGAACTTCTGAGTCAAGCCGCTGAGCGGCTGAGGCTTCTGAGTCAAGAAATTGAACGTCGCAGGAAGAGATTCAAGCCGCGCGGTCAGCTGAGCGGCTGAGCGGGTCCTTGCCGTGTGCCTCAGATCGGCGAAAGGACCCCAGGTGTTGAGACGAAGCTCCGAAAAGCCAAACGGGAAACACAACGAAACACAGCGAAGAACGCGATCCCAAGAACGCGATCCTCTCAAGAACAACGGCAAACGATCGTGCTTGTCTCAAGAACACTAGGCGTCGGCGCTGCGTATGGAACAGCGAAGATGACTCTGGGACAATTCTGGGAAAATTCCTTTCATGGACACGCCTTTTTGCCCGGCCGAGATCTCTTCTGGATGAAAGTTCTGGGACAAAACCTCCCGGGAAGCCGATCGGAGCGGGTTCCGTGACGTTGGACAGCAGATAGGAGAGGGAACGGCTCGCTGGCCCCCGAGTTCTGGCCCCGCCTTTCAGTTGGAAGTTTGGGCCCCACGCTGAAATGCCACACCAACCTGGAAACCCAGGGAAAACAGCTCCGGTTCTTGAATAGAAGGTTGGTTGGAAAGAATGGGGAAGCAACCCCTAGAATAATTAAAACTTGAAGGCAAAAAATAGAAGACCATAGATGTGGAACAGCTCCCTTGCGGCCCCGATCATCGGGGCCAGCATGAAAAATGAGACGGACATGTGGGGGGGGGGGGGGGGAAAAAAACAAATCCCAAACTCTGCTGAGAATTTGAGACACGCATGCGAGCCGTCAAAGCGCGCGGTGCCCCTGAAGAGCATCTTTGAAATCGAGTGACTCCGGTATGAAAAAAAACTGTGAAACGCCCACTTGAGGACGGCTTGGTCACATGAGGGCTTGAACCACATACGAAAATGGGGCTGAGTCCTGGACTTCTTCTTTTTCCCTCATGGACAAAATCCGCTTCGCACCAGTTAACCCGAATAGGACAAACCACCAATCCCAGGTGCCACGGAACCTTGCTGGATCTGAACACAAAAATGGGTCCAATGTCTTGCTATCTGTGGAAACATTTGTAACCTCCTCTGGGTTTCCCCAAAGAAACGATGTGGATTCCCAAGCTTTAAACAACCAAACCAAAAGCCGGAGGCTGGGTAACGTTCAAGCCAAAAATGCATCCCAGCCCTGACACATCGATCCCTTTGCGGCCACATCACTCGCAGCTTCCGCGACAACCCCAGGTGAGCCAGAAACGTCGTCGGAGGCATTCACCGAGCCGCAAGCCGAGTCGGATGTTGGGATGCCACGAATACCTACTCCAAATACCCCGCCTCTTTTGTTGGGATAGTTTGAAGCAGCTGGCTTTTCAAGGCATTTTTAGCCAGGGGTAGCATCATGCCCTAGAAAGAGTGCGTATGGGATACAGGCGGTAGTTCTTTGTTCGCTGCCTCAACGAGGATCGCCTTTTCGAACCTTGACATACCGCCAACACTGGCAGAAGAAAGGCCTGGGCCCCCTGGGTTGCCCTTTCGGGCCCGGGCCTCCCATGGATTTTCAAGCCTCACGCGTCCGAACCAGTTGACTTTCTGACATTGAAGTTGAAAGAGTAACAGGAATACCCAAAGCGGCGTCCAAGCCAAATCACGGTTTGCTTCCCTGATTGCCGCAGCTGGCTTGAAAACGGCTTTCAGGAATCCTGTCAGGAATACTTGAAGGAAAACGGTCTGGATTCAAAAGCGGTAGAGTGGTCGGTGGACCAAAATACACGTAGATAATGTCCACCCATGATCCTATAGGAACATAAGTTTACCCAAACGCCTCCGATTGGATCTACATAAAACGGGCCCCCAAACGCCAGGTTTTGAGAACCTCAAACCCTGGGGAGTCCAATGGAGGGATGTGGGCTTTGCATTCGAATCTCCAGCGTCTGGTTCTTCAGCCTTGTAGAACCAACAGTTAACGGGTTCGGGTCTCTCATGTGTCGTAGTACGGTTACAGGCTGGCGGGGATGCCCTAAATTGTTACTAAGCACTTGTTGAACCTGTTTCAACCGCGCCGCCAACAAAATGGCCTTTGCCGGCAAAGGGTTGCTGTTGCAGTGCTCCATCCAAGCAGATTAATACTATTTACAAAGCGAAGCGGAGATCCGAAGAAAATACACGGTAGGGTTTGGTTGGAAAAGTGTTCGTTCGCCATCCAAAAGAGGTCGTCAATTTTGGGACACCGCCACACGGGTTTGTCATTCAATAGGGGGGAACCCTAAAAAGGGCATTCCTGATGGTTTCCCAACTAGGTCCTCCGGTAGAAAGGTTAGAATAAGGGTACCAGAATTCTGTAGTCTATTTTAGTAGGGTCCCGAACCCTCCCCCAAAAAAGAGTAAAAGGGCACTGGGGGACCCAGCCAACCAACTCCAAGGCACCCTGAAGAAATGGACTCCTCGCAGACCAACCATCGGGATCCCATCCCCGGAGCTCGCGCAGCACTCGCCGCTTTTCTTTTCCTTTTTCTCGGGTCACTTCCGCGCCAGAGCTTTGCCGGTATCGCGCAGTGCGGCGCTCGCGCCTGACCGAGAGGAACAGGGTTGTGGGATTTGACCACTTCTGTGATACAACAAAAAGGGCTTCCCAAGGCCCTGAGAGATTTCCTTTGAAAGCCTTCCTTTGAAAGCCACAAGAAAAAGTTCGGTACCCTCAACAAATCGAACGACACCAGCCCCAAACCTACCGTGCCTCTCCGCCCCCTCCGCCTTCCCGCCCCCGCCTGCGCGCTTGGGCAGCATGGCGCTCGCCGGGCTGGAGGCGCTTCTGGCACTCGCCGGGCTGGAGCCGCCTCTCTCGAAAGCCATAAGCGCTTCGCGCGAGTGAAAAACGAGCGAGTGCAAACGTTGGACAGAGGATCACCGTTTTTGTTTTGTTGTCTTTTTGCTGTGGATGGAAAAGCACCACTGTTCAGAAACTGTCCAAGAAACCACTGTTCAGAAATACCTTCGCACCCGCACCACTGTTCAGAAACCATGGGAAACAGATATGCGAGTGAAAGGTTCAGATAAGACAAATATGGACTCCAGGACATATCAGAAATTACAACTACAATGCTAAGGCAAGCACGAGACAATGAAATAATAGAGAAACCTAACCAGCCCTTAGGATATGACCGCCCTTTGTTTACAGTCTACAGTTTACATGTATTACCTGATATGTTGGGCTTTCCGATAATGCAACAAACAAGTCGCAAAACAACTCCATTGAGACCCCAGCTTTCCCCCAAACCACCTGCCCAGAACACAAGGGTCTCCGCATTTCAAGCGGAACATCACATTTGCTGCGAACCAATGCCTTTGATTTTGCCTGCTGGAAACCAGCCAGAAATCGAGCCCGGGAACCCGAGTGTATGGTTTTTTTGGTTGCTTTCAAGGGAAACCAAAGGCGAGAACCGAAGGCATTTGTTGGGGTCCGACCACAGGTGTCCTTTTGCCAAAAGAGATGGATTTTCCTTGTTAATGGAAAGGAAGCAATCTAAACCAGTGGAACCCATCTTCTCTCCAACTACCCCTCGGTCCAAGCTGGAACCCACCATGTTGGGTACCCAAATTCAAGATGGAAATCCGTCGTCACCCACAAAAAAAATAAATAAATAAATAAAAACGCCAGGTGGCCCGCGTGGGTCCACCAACCCGAGCCACGCGCCTGGGGAGTCGTCGGGCTTGAAGCCACGGGAGCTCTGCCTGAGTGACTCTCCACCGATCCGAAAGGCCACGCGGGGTCCTGCGGGCCCCCCCCAAAAGAGAAGTGTATATATATATATATAGGCTCCCCGATTTTTTCGGGCAAACAAATTTATCAGGGCTCTGCTTTTGGTTGGGCTCAAGAAAGATCTTCTCACCCACCCCACCCCACCCCAAAAAAAAAGAAGAAAGAGGAACCTTTCTATTAGTGGGGGGTACATGAGTGGACTCCGGCAATTGAGGGCCCGGAATAAGAATCGGTTTTGAAGATAGATGCAAACCCGAAACAACTTGAGAAGGGGTCAGCCAAGTAGTGCAATGGGGTTTGTCTCATGGAACCTGGACCCCAGCAACCCACCAGACAGTGGTGCACCTCAGGGTCCAGCCTCCCCAAACAGACACCTTTACGTTGGTTGCCTAATCCACCCGCGTCCACCTACGAGGCGTGCCATATGAGGCTCCTGGCTTCGGCTTTCAATGGAAGACCCGACCCCTCCATTACACACCTTGGAGGCGGGTGGGGGGCTCAAAACCAGGATGATTGAAGCAAATCAATCGAATTGGAGCCTCTGGGTACACAACGGTCCAGCGGGAGCCGCCTGCCCCAGTGCGCAAGATTGAAGGAATAGGTCTTCGAAAGGCTACCCTCTCGCCAAAACCATCAAAGCACTCGAACCGAAAACCGATGGCTTCGTCCGTATCATTTGTCAAATAGTTGCAAGCGGGCCACAAGGAACATGTTTGCTGGAGTCATGCTTGGCAAAAGGCGGCTCTGCCTGGCTGCCTGCCTGCTTGCTTGCCTGGTGTCACAGTGGTGGCAATTGATCAAGCTTTGTGATTGGCTCGCGCGTATTCTGGGGACTCAGGAGTGAGGAGCTATAGCAGCTATGGTGCCGCCCCGCCCCCCCCCCATCCGATGACACGAATCGGTTTTAGCCCGGCAAAAGCAAACGGCTCAAGGATTCTTGCTGCAACCCGTCCGTTGCTACTTTTGGCAGAGGGAAGAAATCGGTTCTTGCATTTGCGCTCCTCGGCCGCTAACATCTCATGTTTTGTCAGTCATGAGCATTGCTCGTTTGAGGCAACGAGAATTGAACAACTGCTGGAGGCAACAGGAAGTAATTGGCGCCTTACGAAGGTGTGCTCAAGACTTGGGGCAAACAGCTCGACACCCGCATAATTCCCCAATGAATCACGCACGAAGCTTACATGTGCACAAAGGGCCCTGTATTTTTCAATCAAATCAACCAAAAAGGACACCTATGCTTGCCTCTCGCTTGCCCCTTCAGGCTGAGCGGAAAAAAGAATGCTTCTTTTTGGAGGGTACTTTTGCTTAACTTTAAAGGGAAACCAAAAAGCCAAATCTTGGGTGTCCAACTTTCAAACCCATGGAGCGGAGAAAAAGACTTATCTTACGAGGTGATGAGCCTAACCCGGCCGAAACCCGAGACGGGAGGGTTCTAAATACATCGCAGAGGGTACGCTTTACTACAACCTGATGAAACCAGGACCTGGTGAATCAGGTAGCACCTACCAAAAGGCCCTTTCAGGGGTGCTGGGCGCTGCTGAATTGTTTAAGATGTGCGTATATTTACAATTTATGTGCGTACCCCTCCTCCCAACCTGGCAACACCTGACAGAAGCCCGAAGAGGAAATCGATCTTCCAAATGCCCTCCCACATGTGCAGACTGTAAAGCCAAAGCAAGCCATGGAGGGAGCAATGGGTTTACTTGGCCCTTTTTGGGTATGTCTCAAAATTGGGGGACCCTAAAAACTGGTGTGAGGAGTGTGAGGGCAAAGGTATGTCTCAATACCGGACCCAGAAACCGTGGTTTTCCGGCCTTGGCCTTTGAACCAACCATGGCCGCCCTCAAACAAACGGCACGCCCCTTTCAACCGGCCCGTCCCAATCTCCCGCCCGCCTCGAAGCACATTTCGGCTTGGCGAGCGCTTGTTGGCCTAGGATCAAAAAACGGGATGAACGTGTCACTCAGATAATTGATGCGACAAGAGGTGGAGATCCTGAAATCCTTGACAAATCATTGCGGGAGCCGCCTGCAGAAAGATCTACCTTGCGAGGGTGAGCAACTTACTCAATGGGGGCGTCATCCCAGCAGAAAGAAACCTCATGTTGTGGCGATGAACATCAACCTAATTTACTCAGACTCAGGGAATCAGTCATGTGGTCAGTGAAGTCGAAAGCCAACGCTCAAAGCCTGACACGACGTTTGCCTGCTTCAAGTGAATGCCCAAAAAACAATATGGCGTTCAGGGCTTAACAACTCCAAATCCAACCAGTAGGAATCGAGCCACTAACCAAAATGGTCATTTTGGGTTCGGGCGCTGCTCAAGTTTGCCGGCGGGCTGCGACAAGGACCAAGAGAGTCACTGGATGTTCCTTTCAAAAAGTGGCATTTCGCTTGTGGGCTCCAATTAAACTTCCACTTTTGCAGGATCAAAAAGGAGGGAAGGCATACTTGCACTTTCTGCCTATCTTAATAGTTCTCAGCCGGGAATGAGGGAATGACCGAATGACCCCTATAAACCATCACCTCT